TTTCACAGTTTCAATTGTTTCCTGTTTTATGTATTTTTTATCTGTTTTCATTATGCACTTGTCTTGTGTACACACTGGGGACTTTTGCAGATATATTCCAATGTGGTTTCACTGAAAATGGCAAATAAATTAATCTGAATCTCAGGCTCTGTTTATCACTGCAGCGATGAGACAAAGATGAGACAAAACACACTTCCTTGGACAGAAAAAACACCTAATCTTTTAAAATGCTCTGCAGAAAAGGCTTTGGCTCCTCGTCTGTTTGAGCAGGAGCAAAATCAGCTGCTGCTCCTGTCCTTCTCCTAGAGCGAGACCTCAGCTCTTCTGATGATGTGCGTCAGGCATAGATTTTATACGAATGGACAATGCTAACTGACTTACTCAATGAATCGCAATAGGGAAGTGCTCATGGACAACGTTTTTCTTGAACTCACTTGTGGGATGGCGTTGTCCTTATAGTTTATGGTTTAAACCCTACAGTATATAGCTCATTCACATTTACCCCAGCAGAAAAGCCTTTTCTTCTTCCCATCATTGATAAAACTCTGCCCTGTCCCTGCTGAAGAAAAGTAGCAGCACAGCATGATGCTACCACCTCCACATTTGACACTGGGGTTGGTGCACTAGATGAGTTGTGTTCGTTTTGCACAAGGACTGGGTTTCTCTCAGAGCTGGCCAATGCGATACAAATCTCGGTACTGGGGACTAGGGATGTTACGATTACTGGTGTAGCGGTAAACCTCAGTAAAAAAATGTGATTATAACATTTATCGTAATTAATTGAAAGAAAAAAAAATATATTCTTGGTGGATTGTACCAAGAATATATATTGAGCCTTCCCGCGTCTCTGAGTTTGCTGAAGTTGTCGCACGGGTGCACTCTGGAATCATGACCGAATGAGGAGACTCTTAAGACAATTATCAGCCTTCAAAGAGAACAAAGTCTGAAGTGAGGGCATATTTTGGATTTTTAAAGAATACCGAGGGACATCTGATGGAAGACAGCTAGCCTGTCTGCATAAAGTTTTCCGCGATGGCTCCTCTGCGTGAGCATCACCCACAACAACTCTATAGCCAATGCTAAATCCACAGCCAATGCTAGGTAAGATAATGTTAGTTTTTCTGGTAGGGTCCCCACACACATTTTGGAAAAGACTAGAACATGGACAAATGCATTTTTCATGTTATGTACTGTTTAAATCACACATGTTACTAAGCCGATGCTCCTCCCTCCCGTACCCCTCTGCTTGTCGAAATTCGCCTGTTCTCTTCATAAATGTGTTGTGTGGTTTTATTGGATGGATTTCTCTGGTCCAGCGGCTGATGCAACGCTTGGAAAACCAGTGCTTTTCATCTGCACTGTTCCGGGAGTGGCTTTTTCCCAAACAAACCTTCCCTTTTGTAATTTCTCCTTCACCACTCCACCTGTATGAAGCCAAAGACGTGTAAAAATCTGAGAGAGCTCCAGAAAAGCCACCATAACGCGTGATATTAATTAAGGTTTAAGTCCTGAGATGAAGCGAACAATTATTGTCGTTTCCGAGAAGATTCATGATTCAGACTGTTGTGTCTTTGCAGAAATCAATAGTTTCCCTCCTCACACGGATCAATCCTGACTTTTAATTAGTGGAACGAGTGGATGTTTATATGTTATTAATATTAGAGGTTTCAAACTGTGAAAAGTTAGAGATGTGTGCTGCTCTCTTTCTTATCTCACATTCTCTCTGATGTAAAGGCACTTGTATTGCTTTTCGATTTCACAGTGACAATAGTTTCTGTACTTTTTAGCTGGTTTTATTTATGGACCCGAACCCTTTTGCATATGTATTCCAATGTGGTTTTACTGCAAACGGCAAATAGACTAAATCTGAATCATGTATCTCTCTAGTCTCACTGGTCTCTCTTGGATTTCTGATTACAAGATGGCGCTTTGCATGATCGCCACGGCTCTTTGGTGCATTCTTTTTCTCTTGTTTTTCTGCTTTAATAGCGTCTCTGCCTGCTCCTACACTCGTAAGGAGCTTCTGAACATCAGACACACCATCCCCATAGATCTACTGCCTGTTTTCTTGGCTTATGCTGCTGATTTGGTTCATGTTTTAGCCAAAAAAAATGAGAACACGTTGGAGAGGAAAGCGCAACGAGTCCTTGAGCGGTTGAGGAGATGAGGTACGCGCACAGCACTCCCCAGGATATTTCTGTCCAACATATGATCTCAAAGCAATAAGATGGACAAACTCTCCCTGATAATGACAAGCTGTGCCCTGGAGCTGCAGGGCTTTCAGCTCCTTTGCGTGGACCACCATTGTGATCTATCTGGAGGCTAGAGCAGAGCTCTAAGCTCTGTGCTTCTACATCAGGGGTGCTCAATACGTCGATCGCGATCTACCAGTCGATCGCAAAGGTAGTATTGGTAGATCGCATTAAATAAATAAAAAATTACACATTTGAAGAAGATGACATAGCCTGGGATCGCGTCTTTCATCTAAACGAATATATACAAAAAACTCCGGGCAAAGTGGAGATTTTTGAAAACTCCGTTAATACATTTGTGTGTAGACAGAGATAACCAGAGTTTTGCGTTCTCGCACGCCACAGTACCCCCCTAAATTCCTCTGATCACTGAAGCATGGATCATACTACCTTAAAAACTGTTCGCTGTGAGATGCTCGCAGCAGCGAACATCCTCGCTCCACATCAGAGAGCAGCAAAGTGATCGCGGGGACTCACGCTCGAAAACAACCAAACCAGGACTAAACCAGGACTAAACCAGGGCTGAGGACGGGGTCAGTGCTTGTAAACATACGTCTTACTCTTTACTCTGAGTGTCTTCTATGACTGTAAAAGTGCCGTTACCGGCGTCTGCATCAGAACTCCGCCCACTTTTGTGTTTTTCCCCAACGCAGGACAGGACGTAAGAGACGCACATGTTTGGAATGTTACGAATGTGATTGATAACGCAGATGTGTGGATGCAAATTATTTTATAAACGGAGGAGGGGAAATATTTGGATTTAAAAAAAACAGGCATGGCACATGGACATGGCACCACAGTCAAATGACATCTGTGTTTTACTCAGTAATGTTTTACTGACACTTAGGTGACTGCACATGCGCAAACAACCGCGCTCAGTGCAGGAAAGCTAAACCACGACAAACTTGTCAGCGAGTTACCACCAATTTTCCGGACTATGCATCCCTGGCCGATTCAATTCAGTGCAAGTCATCAGAGTAAACTCGGGTAATGACAAAAAATGTACATACTGTAGGTAATTGTGTTGTGTTGTGCTATATTGGCTCATGCGGTTTTGCATGTACATAAACATACATTGTAGATATAAAGAATATTTTTTGAAATATATGATTTGCATTTTTGTAGTAGGTAGATCATTTTGACTTGATCCTTTTATAAGTAGCTCGCATGCTGAAAAAGTGTGAGCACCCCTGTTCTACATTAACACAAACTGGTGTAACGACGTGACAGTGATCCCCAAGCAATGTTTTCCTGCTCTGGAATATATTTTCATTAACTGCAGTTCAAGCCGTTCCCGCCCTGTTAACATCCCAGCATCCGCGGACGCGCATGGATGTTGGGATGTAAACTAACCCTAACCACTGGCAGAGCAACTGTGCCCCGTGCGGCTCTAGACTTCTCAAGCAACATGATCCACCTTATTCCTGCATACAGACAGAGACTGAAGCTCCTGTAACCTGTAGTGAGGATCTCTAATGGGGCGTTCAGACCGCCGACGCTTGAATGCAGCTTCCACGTGCACTGGACGCACATTCTCTAAATTTCAGACGATAGGCCTGTTCAGACCAGAAGTCCTGGCCTGCAGCGACTTTTTGTGTAAAGTTGTTCTCCAAGAATGCAGCTCTACAGCAGACTCTGGAAGGTCTCTGGACACAGAGACCTTCCAGAGTCTGCTGTAAAAGAAAAGACAGCAGTATGTGTTCACGTAGGTGCGCCATAAGTTTATTTTATTATTAAACGGCCTTTTCGCATTGGCGAACACGTTAACAGCACTTTTTTAGAGTCACTGAACAAGTGGGAATGAGAATTAAGGCTGGAGGCACATGTTCACAAGTACTGTGTCCTCCACTGTCAATCCTGTTTTAGCTCCTGTTTTGGCTGTTTACGAGTATTTTCAGTCTGTTCGCTGTGTCCTCATGACCACTTTGCGGCTCTCTGATTGGTCGCTGCATGTGCGTCCCGTGGAAAATATTTTCATCATGCACATGCAGTTCCACGCTCAGACATACGTCACCATTGACTTTGCATTGAAAGTCGCCGCAACGCATGATCCCGTCTGAACGCCCCATTAGGTGTGGTCTGATGAGGTTGTGGATGAGCTGCCATGCTCCACCCAGTAGCTTCTCCACATCTGCTGCTGTGACCCATCCTGCTCCACCCAGAGGCTACTCTATCTCTGCTGCTGTGACCTGAAGGGCTGTTGCTGATTATTACTATTGTTAGCGTTTTAGAATGATCAATTTAATTTTTTATTTTTGCTGCTACTGGACACCTTAATTTCTCCTACGGGGATCATAGGGATGTCATAAACCTGGCCCTTCACTTGATCCTGCAGCACCTGGACCCTCGGGATCCTACGCCAGGATCCTGTTTGTGGACATCAGCTCTGCCTTCAACACCATCCTGCCATTCCTGCTCTTGGACAAGCTCTACCAGCTCAAAGTGCCCGATTCCATCTGCAAGTGGATCACTGACTTCCTTGTGGACCGGTTGGTGTCCTGATGCAGTGGTAACAACCTGGAACTGAACGCCCAGAAGACAGTGGAGATGATTGTGGACTTCAGGAAGAGCACAGTACCCCCGCCCTCCCTGAAGGACTCCACATAACCTCTTTGGAGTCCTTTCGTTTCCTGGGTACCACCATCACCCAGAACCTCAAGAGGGAGCAGACCACCAGCATCCTCATCCAGAATATCCAGCAGAAGATCTACTTGCTGAGGCAGCTCAGGAAAGCTAAGCTGCCTGCACATGTTGGTGCAGTTTTACACGGCCATCATCGAGTCCATCCTCACCTCCTCCATCATCGTGTGGTTCGCTGGAGCCACTGTCAGGGACAAGCAGAGACTACAGCGCATCATGCGCTCTGCAGAGAAGGTGATCGGCCGCAGTCTCCCATCACTGCAGAACCTCTACAATTCCCAAACTCGAGGCCGGGCTAGTTGTATCACAGCCGACCACTCTCACCCGGAACATGGACTGTTCCAACCCCTCCCCTCAGGCAGAAGGCTACAGTCCATTCAAACCAGAATCTCCCGCCATAAGAACAATTTCTTCTCCTCTGCTGTTGGTGTCATGAACACTTCATAACCTGTCCCCCGACCATTACAAGCCACTTTACTGCCCTTCATAAAACCACTTTAGTGCCCTTCATAACGTCACTTTACTGTTAATTGTCACCTTACTGCCCTACTGCACTGCATTGCTTATTGCATATTGTGTACGCCATTTGCACTTGTATATTGTGTGTAGAACATTGTATTGATTTAAATTTTTATACCTTAGAAGTGTATGCTGATTTCTACTATGAAATCCTTTCTCTATTCTCTACCTCTCTTCCTTGACTGTTGCACCGAGATTCAAAGCAATTTCCTAGTCTGTGACTTCCTGTTACTTACACGGCAGTAAATGATTCTGATCTCTCTCTGGTTTCCTTGGTCCTACGCTCGGTCTTTTTGAGTGGTACAACCTTAAGCCTTATGCTTGGCACAGACTGTATGTGGAGAACTAGTATTCTCTGGTGTCTGATCACTAGTGTTTAAAATGTGTGGAATAAGTGTTTTTAAAAATGTGACCTTACTATCATGGTGTTGTGTTTTGTGTGCAGGGCCGTAAACCCGGGTACTTCTCCTTCCTGGACCCTTTCTCTCCTGCTGTCTGGCTCTTCATGCTGCTGGCTTATCTCGCTGTGTCCTGTGTGCTGTTTCTCGCAGCCAGGTAACATACTGAAACAAACATTTTTAACATTCATGGACTCATTGGTCATCTGCCCTTTATGGACCAATGGTGTTATCGTTGCATTTCCTGTGTTTGAACTGTCTGATTCTCTCATTTATAATGATAAATCGACGGCTTCGTAAAGTCCTCCTAGATAATGACTGTTGTGATCTAGGGCGATACAAAGATTTTTAATTATCTCTGTAGCTCTGTAACCATCTATGACCACCTCTCAATTTGTGGAGGTTCTTTTTCCTTCTAGTCTCTCTCCTTTCTGCTCACTCGTCTCTCTGGTTTGCAGTAAAACCAGCTCTCTCTTGTTCCTCTGGTCTCTCTGTCTGGTCCTTGTGGTCTCTCAGGTGTCTTTCTCTAGTGCTTCTCTCGGGTCCTCTTGGGTCTCGAATTCACTCTGGTTTTCTCTGTCTCTCTCTAATCTCTCACTGGTCTCACATTCACTCTCTGGTCTTCCTCTGATATCTCTCAGAACTCTTTTTCTGGTGTCTCTGGTCTGACTGATTTCTCTCTGGTCTCTCTCTGGTCTCACTGGTCTCTCACTGGTCTCACCGATCTTACTAGTCTCTCTCTGGTCTCTCTCTGGTCTCAATGGTCTCACACTGGTCTCACTGGTCTCTCTCTGGTCTCTTTCTGGTCTCACTGGTCTCTCTTTGGTCCCAGGCTTAGTCCATTTGAGTGGTACAACCCTCAGCCCTGCTCTCGGCACAGACAGGATGTGGTGGAGAACCAGTACTCTCTGGGCAACAGTCTATGGTTTCCTGTGGGAGGCTTCATGCAGCAGGGGTCAGAGGTCATGCCCCGGGCGCTGTCCACACGCTGTGTCAGCGGAGTCTGGTGAGAGAATACTCTACTCTACTATTTGTATTCTACTACAGAATGTACTTTTCTAAATACTTCTGTTACTGTACTTTACAGTTGCTCTGTTCTTTCTCTGATCTCTGATCTATCTTTGGTCTCTCTCTGGTTCCTCTCTCTGGACTCTCTCTGGTCTCTCCCTGGTCCCTCTCTGGTCTCTCTCTGGTCTCTCTCTCTGGTCTCTCTCTCTCTGTCGTCTCTTTCTAGTCGCTTTCAGGTCTCTCGCTCTGATCTCTCTATCTCTAGTTTCTCTCTGATCTCTTTCTGGTCTCTCTCTTGTTTCTCTCTGGTCTCTCCCTGGTCTCTCTCTGGTCTCTCTCTGGTCCCTCTCACTAGTCTCTTCCAGGTCTCTCTCTCTGATCTCTCTATCTCTAGTTTCTCTCTGATCTCTCTCCGGTTTCTCTCTGGTCTCTGTCTGATCTCGCTCTGATCTCTCTCTGGTCTCTCTCTGGTCTCTCTTTCTGGTCTCTCTCTCTAGTCTCTCGCTAGTCTCTTTCACATCTCTCTCTGATCGCTCTATCTCTAGTGTCTCTCTGATCTCTCTCTGGTTTTTCTTTGGTCTCTGTCTGATCTCGCTCTTGTCTCACTCCAATCTAACTCGAATCTCTCTCTGGTCTCTCTCTGGTTTCTATCTGGTCCCTCTTTCTGATCTCTCGCTGATCTATCTCTGGTCTCTTTCTAGTCTCAGTATGTTCTTTTCTCTGGTTCTTCTCCCGGGTCTCTGTCTGGTTTCTCTGCTCCCAGCTGAGTTCTATCATCTTTGCTGTTTTCCGTTGACCTTGCTGCTTTAGTTCAAGAGCTGTGGCTCAATATCACGGTGTGTCAGACCAGTTGGAGGACACTTCAGTCTTGAGTCCTGAGAGGAGACAAAGAAGAGCGACGGAGATAATGCTTTTCCCCCCTCTTTTGAGCATTTAAGCATTTTACCACATTACTCATCTACAGTAATATCAGGAACCTCTGCCACCCATGTTAAATTGCTCCTGTCTCAAACTTGTTTCAGTACGATGCATTCTGTCAGTAGCTCCCTACTCTCCCACCAGAGCGAACATCAAACACAGTGTGTCTGCGGCTGATGTTCTTTACGAACACATGTGATCGTAAAGAACCTAATTTCACCTGAGAAATGGCCAAAACCAGTTAAGGCACAATACTCTGAGTGTGATGTCATAGTGTGATGCAATGACATAATACTATTTCAGGACTGAGACAGGAGCTTTTAGACAGAGGCGGCGGAGCTACATGTTTGTGGCAGAAGTTACTAATATTTGAGTGGATAGATCAAAAAACAACTGCCGGTCTCTGTCTGATGAGTGTGCGTTTGAATGTGCCTGCTGTGATCTGTGCACACATACAGTACTTAGTTTTACTAGAACTAAAACAAAGTAATGAGTGTGATTCATTACTTTGTTTTAGTTCTAGTAAAACTGTCTGCTCCCACTGAGCTCCATCTGCTCCTCACTCAGGGGCCGCCACACGCTGTTGTCGTCTATTTGGAGAATGTGAAACTGATCAGAGCACCAATCTCCTGTTAGAAAAAGGACCATCTCTGCTCCTGACTGACTGATTCGTTGTTAGGCTGTTGCTCCAGATTTACACCCATAGAGCCTGTTTCAGATTGTTCTTTTCCTCATGGAGCCTTGTTTAAACTGTTTGATTCTTTGATCTCTGAGAGCTATGTTGTCGGGGCTTCATGCCCCTGGTAGGGTAAGTGACCATGGATAGCATGTTAATAAGAACCGTGACATCGCCCGGTATGGTGCAGCCAGGGCCCCACCCTGGAGCCAGGCCTGGGGTTGGGGCTCGAAAGCGAGCATCTAGTGACCGGGCCTTAGCCCACGGGGCCCGGCCTATGGGCCCACCACCCGCAGAGGGATCTATGGGGTAGAGCCCTGCACGGGCCTATTATCTGGGCCCGAGCCCGGCCTTGGCCCGAGGGGGTGGCGCCCCAGCCCGGCCCGGCCCGATATGGTTTCTCAATTTTCAGGCCCAAAACCCGCATCAAGCCCGCCTTTTTTTTTTTTTGTAACCTCCCATAACAATGTTTTAGCGTAGTATATAGTGCCGCGCACTGATATGAACGCAGACTTAGCTAGAGGGCGGAGTTATACATGGTAGTGATGTGTTGCAATGAGTTCTGTGTGTGCGGAGTGGTGCAGAGTGAACGGCCGCATCTGTATGATGCACAGATGCTGCAACACACCTGTAAGTAATGCCATGTGCCGTCAATGACAACACTACACAGAACAACAAACACTACAGCGTGATAGAACGCTATATTCAGTGGGTGCGTTCGTAAATCTATTCTGCCGCTCTGAAAATGAAGAGCCCGAGCCCGGCCCGTGTCCGAGGTCATTATGCGGTCATCGGCCCGAAGCCCGGCCCTCGGGCTGTCGGGCCGTCGGGGCCCTCGGGCCAAGGGCTCAAGTGCAGGGCTCTACTATGGGGCATTGGTGCAGAGAGGACTGGGCAGCGGTCAAAGGCGGAGACCTCGACGACCCAGTCCACACACACAGCATTTGGCTGTTGGGACGTGGAACGTCACCTCACTGGGGGGGGGGGGGGGGGGGTGGGGTGATGAGCGATACCGACACACACACACAGCTTGGGCTTGAGAGGGCTTGGACGCTTCATTTCTCTGGTGTTTCTTGTGGGTAGAGGCGGAGGGTGGCCATACTCATTGCCCCCCATCTCAGCCGCCACGTGTCGGAGTTCTCCCCGGTGAATGCGTCCCTCCGCCTTTGGTTGGGGGATTAGTCTCTCACTGTTGTGACAGCCTATGGGCTGAGTACCCGGCCTTCTTGGAGTCCCTGGGAGGGGTACTGAACAGTGCACTGACCGGGGACACTGTTATTCTCCTGGGGTACTTCAATGCCCATGTGGGAAATGCCAGTGACACCTGGTGATTGGGAAGAACGGCCCCCTTGATCTGAACCCGAGCGGTGTTCAGTTGTTGGACTTCTGTGGTAGTCACAGTTTGTCCATCACAAACACCATGTTCGAGCACAAGGGTGTGCAACAGTGCACGTGGCACCAGGACACCCTAGGCCGGAGGTCGATGATCAACCTTTGTTGTCATATCATCTGACCTTCTACCACGTGTCTCGGACACTCGGGTGAAGAGAGTGGCAGAGCTGTTAACCGATCACCACCTGGTCGTGAGTTGGATTCATGGCAGGGGAGGAACCCGGCAGTTGAAGTGAGGGTCTGCTGGGAACGTCTCGCTGAGCCCCCTGTCAGACGGACTTTCAACTCACACCTCTGGGAGAGCTTCTCCCAGGTCCCGGCAGAGGAGGGGGACATCGAGTCTGAGTGGACCATGTTCTCCACCTCTTCTGCCAATGCGGCGGCTCGTAGCTGTGGTCGCAAGGTCTCTGGTGCTGGTCCCGGCGGCAACCCCCGAACCCGGTGGTGGACCCCGGTAGTAAGGGGTGCCGTCAGGCTGAAGAAGGAGTCCTATCGAGCCATGATGGTTTGTGGGACTCCTGAGGCAGCTGTCCAGTACCGGCAGGCCTACCGTGCCGCAGCCCGGGCTGTTGTAGAGGCAATAACCCGGGACTGGGAGGAGTTTGGAGAGTCCATGGAGCATGACTATCGGTCGGCCTCAAAGAGATTCTGGCAAACCATCCGGCGCCTCAGAAGGGGGAAGCAGTGCTTCGCTAACACCGTGCACGGTGCGGGTGGAGAGCTGCTGACCTTGACTGGGGATATTGTTGGGCGGTGGAAGGAATACTTCAAGGTTCTCTTCAATCCCCCGTCACGTTCTCCGTTCCGGAGGCAGAGGCTGAGGATGTTGGGGCGGATACTTCCATTTCCCTGGCTGAGGTCACCAAGGTGGTTGCCAGCCTCCTTGGTGGCTAGGCGCCGGGAGTGGCTGAGAGCCGCCTTGACTATCTACAGTCTCTGGATGTTGTAGGACTGTCTTGGCTGACATGTCTCTGCAACATTGCGAGGCGATTGGGGGCGGTACCAATGGAGTGACAGACCGGGGTGGTGGTTCCTCTCTACAAAAAGGGGGATCAGAGGGTGTGTTCTAATTATTGGGGGATCACAATCCTCAGCCTCCCCAGCAAGGTCTACTCCAAGGTACTGGAGAGGAGACTACAACAGATGGTTGAATCTCAGATTCAGGAGGAGCAGTGTGGTTTTCGTCCCGGCCGTGGAACATTGGACCTCGCGGCTCGGATGAGAATCAGCACCTCCAAATCCGAGGCCATGATGCTCGACTGGAAAAAGGTGCCTTGCCCTCTCCAAGTGGGTGGAGCAGTCCTTCCTCAAGTGGAGGAGTTCAAGTATCTCGGGGTCTTGTTCACGAGTGAGGGAAGGATGGAGCGTGAGATTGACAGGGGGATCGGGGCAGCTTGTACAGTGATGCGCTCGCTGTATCGGACCGTTGTGGTAAAGAGGGAGCTGAACTGAAAGGCAAAGCTCTCGATTTACCGGTCAATCTTCGTTCCCTCCCTCACCTATGGTCATGAGCTTTGGGTAATGACGGAAAAGACAAGATCGCGGATACAAGCGGTCGAAATGAGCTTCCTCCGCAGAGTGGCTGGGTGCTCCCTTAGAGATAGGGTGAGGAGCTCAGTCACACGGGAGGAGCTCGAAGTAGAGCCGTTGCTGCTCCACATCGAGAGGAACCAGTTGAGGTGGCTTGGGTATCTGTTCAGGATTGGGAGGTTTTCCGCACACATCCCACCGGGACGAGGCCCCGGGGAAGACCCAGGTCATGCTGGAGGGACTACATCTCTCAGCTGGCCTGCTAATGCCTTGGGGTTCCCTCAGATGAGCTGGAGGAAGTGTGTGTGGATAGGGAAGTCTGGGCGCTTCTGCTTAGACTGCTGCCCCCGCGACCCGGTAACGGATGAAGAGGAATAAAATGGATGGATGGATAGATTCTCTGATCTGTGTTGGTGAATTCAAGAATTTTGTTAAGTCCCCCGAGCTAACTGCTTTTGGGATTTAGGGCTATACAAGAATAG